ACATAATCATCTGCTGAACCATTTCAGGAGTAAGAACAGATGATCCGCCCGTAGAAGAAGAAGCTGAGGACATCACTGGAGCAGAAGAGGTGTTCACTGCAGCCTGATAGGCGGTAGCTTGACGATTCTGAGGCCGAGTGGGACATTCTTTGATAAAGTGACCCTGTTTCTTACAATAGTTGCAAGATTTCTTAGCACAGTTGGCGGCAATATGACCATACTCCTTGCAGCTGAAACATTGAACCTTGCGCATATCCTTACTTTTCCCTTTCCCGTAGGCGACATAGGCTACTGGATTTGGGTTTGAGTCTTGCTGGAATGTAGCCTGTGTAAGAAGACGCTGCTCCTCACGAAGCAATTCTCCAAAACAAACATCCAAAGATGGAGAAGGATCCCGATTCATTAAATTGGAGCGAGTGACCTCAAATTCAGGGCGTAATTTCATCAGGAATTGATCTCTCTTGCTCTGCTCATGAACAGCCTGAACATCAGAGAGATGCAGCAGGTACCTTCGCATAAACCATATCAGAAAATTCTCTCCACAAATTCTGAAAACCAGAGAAATACTCCTGAATGGAGAGATTGCCTTGAGTGTAATTAGCAATCTCATATTCTAACTGAAAACGACGTGCAGTATTATCTTGGTGATAAACCTTCAACAAATACTCCCACATAGTTTTAGCCGACTTATAGGGCCTCAGATTGAGCACAATAAGAGGATCAACAGACCCTAAGATCCAGGACATCACACGTGCATCCTTAACCATCCACTTAGCCAAATCGTTAGTCTCCGTAGGAGCTGGATCACTACCGTCAATATGGCCCCACCAAGGTAGTCAAAGGCGTTAGGCGCACTCAAGGCGACAGGGTTAGCCTAGCGCCTGAGGCGCAAGGCGCAAAAAAGCGCTCGCCTGACTCATGTCAGGCGCACTGCTTAGAAAAAATAACACATACTATTCTCCAACAATCAAACATGATGTACCAGTTCACCATATTGAAGGAAATGCATTAAGAAGTCATGTTCCTTACAAATAAAGTCACGCTTCACCAAAATAAACTCACGATTGATCAAATAATTTAAATTGAAATTCCCAAGCAGTATAATTTTTTCCAGTAAAACGAACCCCAAAAGTCTCGCTAGAAGACATGATGAAAAATAAAAATCAGAAATTATAAAACCTGATTAAGAGTAACAGGGCCACCAGCCCAATCCAACAGCAGCAACCAGCAACCCACCAGAATAGCAACCCAAACAAAGAAAACAAGCCCAGGCAGCAATCAACAATCCACTCAAGTCTAAATAGCAAGCCCAAGCCCAATCCACTCAATCACCAACCCACCCAGCAAGAATTTCACGCTCGCTGCTACTCACGCCAGAATCAGCCGCGACCTTCACCTGACCTCAGCCGAAAGTCCACGCTCCTCCAGAAATCGCCGACAGCCCCGTCAACTCCTTCAGAAATCGCCAGCAGTCTCACCAGAATCAGCCGACAGCCTCAACTTCCCCAGAAATCGCCGGCAGCTCCAAAGTCTCCACGCCGACAGCCTCAAGAAAAAATTCCGGTAAGAGTAACCTTTCTACCCTCAACAGAACTTTTGCTACCCTACCCTCAACAAAAAACTACCGAATAGCAGTTTAGAACCCTCTCCAAAATTATCGACAACTCCCCTGAAGTCACCGACCGCCAAAGAGACCAATTGCTCAGTCCCGACCCAACTCAAAAAAAAAACTCGTATCACAACCATGTCAATTGTATTGAATACCTCTCAATGTGAGGGTTCTTCCTATTATATAGAACAATTACAAGAATAAATAAGGCAATTAAAATCTACCTATTAATTACAAGATACTATACAAAAACATACCATAACTAGAGAAACTAATTATGGCTAAATATACAAAATATATATGCTATATCTGATTGACAGGATAACCGCATCCTTCAGATTTTCCCAGGTTATCTCCTCGGCCTGTTGTTTCCACCACTGAAACCAATTCAAGGCCCTATCATCCATAGCCACCATTGAAACCTCAACCTTGTCTTCCTCCTCTGTTTTATTCAATCTAAAATAACGCTCCATTCTTACTAATCGGTTATAGGCCCCTACTCCATTAAACAATGGCAAATCCACCTTCCGACCAGTATGCACTCTGCGAGTAGGGATGGGAGAGTGTACATAATTACCTCTCGAGTGCTCTGGGCTGTGTAGTGATCGCGATCGGTGGTGATGTGGTGATCGTGATCGACGGTGATGAGGGGAACGGTGATGCGGTGATCGCGATCTCCCTCTGGACGGGTCCCTCCTGTTCTGATAAGCTGCCATGGATGTCGCGATGCTGTTCTGGATTTGCTCATTCATGCAACAGTGAGATTCACGATGGTAGCTCACATCTCCCGCTCAAAGGCTTCCATGTGTTGTTCCATTTTGGATCTCGTTTTTACCATCCACTTCAGAAAAAAAAACTAGGTTGCAGTCGCTACCTCACAACGATGCTGAAACGAGAAACGCTACTGCCGTCGCACTTCACTTGTGATCCCCAGGAGCGATGCTCTGATACCAATGTTAGGTACCTGGACAGATCTGATGAAGGATAGAGAAATAGGGTTTATTGATAAACCGTAGGTAACTCAGGGACAATGACTTCTTAGGCAACAAGGCAACATTTAATCAAATAACAGTCTCCCTATTACGCTACTCCCCTTTCCTATTTATAGCATTAAGTCCACACAGGGACTAAAATAGCTAAAGTAATTACTAAACTGACCCCCAACCCCTTTATTTCTCCTTTCAAATACCCTATTAAAAGTACTAAATAGGCAGATTCTTAACATTCTTACCCTGCGCCAGACTGGTCTCTTGATTCGCAGATGGCATTGCAAGCCATAAATCCTAGTGTGCGAGTGTCAATATGCCCACATGAATCATCTGTTTCAGAATCTATAACCATAGTCACATCAGGAAAAGGATTAACAGGGACTATAATTTCGGAAATTCATACTGAATTGAAGCAAGTGGCACCAACAGTTTCAGAAAATAGCGAAGCTGATATTCTGCAGGTATGTGATAGTGATGTTTGTGTGGTCAAATCTGCATCGACTTTTGGGTTTGAACAGGAGAGGAACTGGCTTAATGTTTTAAAATCTGTAATGATGGACTGTGATATATTACACATTGCTTTGGAAGGGTTGAAGTCATTGAACAAGTTTGATAGATTCGGATGTGAGGGTGTTACTTCGATGATAGATAATCAAAATGGGTTGGAAGGAGAATTTTCTGGTAATATTACAGATAATGAGCGATATGTTTCTGGTGTTGGAGTTGTCATGTATCTGATGCTTGTTAAAGATCTCAATCCTAGTCGTTTTCCTGAGGCCATTATAGGAGGTGTAGGCTTGGACTATCAGTTTGATGATTCTGCTGTGGCAAATTCTTATTCTGTGGCTAGAAGCCCATCTTCTATGTCCATTGTATTCGTGAATGGCATTTACAGGGACTTTGTCAGCTCTTATCTTGATTATTCCATCTTCCAACATCAACAACAGAACTTGAATATTCCTGGTTCTTTCAATATGTTGACTATCAGAAGAGAGATTCTTTTTGAAGTTCAGTCAACCACTCGAGTATGGGAATCTGGCGCTGAAAACACGAGTTGCTACTCGTTGGTCATCCAACCGGAACCACTTGTGTGGACAATACTTTCTAAGGATGACTTGGTGGATAATTTTACCTATGATGTCTTGAAAATGAACCCAAGGACTCAGTATTATGGTGGGAGTTTATGGTCCTATTTTCGGAAAGGAGAGGTTATTTCTTATTACCCAGGTGGTTGGAGGAGTAAGCATACAGACCATGATAATAGATATTGCTATGTGATGGTGGGCAATGATCAAGGTATGTCAATAGTTTCAATTCGGGAAGAAATGTCACTCATGACATGTCACAGGGTATACATATCAGAAGCTAAAATTCCAAGGAGTGAAGCAACTGAAGACCGAGGACTTGCATTATACTCTGAAGCAAGAGCTACTAGCAAATGGAATATTGAGCAGAAGGTGATGAATGAAGATCAGTACCAGCAGGAACAGAACAACCTGAATAGTATGGATGCTTTGAAGGGAGAGGATCTAGTGCTGTTTTTGCTAGAAGTGAGGATGAAGATTCAAGAATGGAAACTCCTTGACCAACCTACAGTCATGTATTGGGAAGGAAGAGGAGCAAGGAAGAAGAAGAAGGAGCAGAAGATTGTGGCTGTTTCCTATCACCCACCTTGAGGGCAAGGTGGATGTTTAGGGGGGAGTAATGTTAGAGACTCTACTAATTCGGAAATAGAAGATAGATACTTTGGCAAAGTATATTCTAGAAGAAAGTAGAGTTAGTTATTAGTTAAAGGTGTTGTTAGCTAATAACTGTCTTCGGTTGTATTAGTTACTTACTTACTATAAATAGTAGCTAGCTGGAATGGGTGAGGAGGCTGTTTAAACTTTTATCTTGTATTGGGAGGTTAGAGACTAATACTCTCTTTCTTTGGAGGCTTCGGCCATTGGGGGCTTCGGCCAGATTCTTGTTCATCGTTAATAAAATTGCAGATTGTTTTCTTGAGATATTCCTGAGAATTATCTGAATAATTGGATAACTCTAACAACTAATAGGCAATCTAGCCTGGTTTACCTCTTTGTGATTCTTTACAGGCCAGGGTCACAGCTGCGGTTTACCCAGTGTGCACCCTCGGTTAGCGGATGTGGGCTTCCCTCGTCACCCGCAAAATCAAATTCACTTTCATTAATAAAAAAGTTAAATAGAAGAACCAGGGAGAACAGCTAATCTAAACTCAGTAAACAAACTAGCTTCTAGCAAACAAGCTAAACTTTCAGCTATGTTTTACTGATTAAGTTTGATTCATTGAATAGTCTTAATGTTATTTTAAACATTGATTTGATATATCTTATTAAAATATTGTATGAAGTGTAATTGTCATCTTTCTTGATCATGTATTACAGGCATATGTTAAAATTGCACAGGCTATCTCATCTCGTCCTGTACGTAATGCTTCCTCTTTTAATTTACTTGTCATGAATGAATCATTAATAATACACAGTGCATTTCTATGTGTATCTTATTGAGTATTTGAGTTATATCGGGACAGTAATTAAAATGATATCGAGGTTCAGAAACAAATATTTGATTGATGATGAAACTTAAGCATGCTGTATTGCTGCTTCAATTTTAACTCCTATATATTAAAATGACTTTTGACATTCAAACCTTAATTATGTGATATTATACTGATTACAGTGATGAGAGTCAGTAAAGAGAACTCTTTTAACAGAATTAAATAATGAAAATATTGCAGTAGTTTTCGCTGTTTAACTTTTCGTTTTTAACTACCAAACCTTGTTGTTAGTTGTTAAGACTTGAGGTTCCATCCTAAAAGGTTAACCTGATAGGAGGAGGGTCCAAAGCCTTATATAGTGTTTAATTGTTTTATAGCTTTCCGGTGTGGGACAAATGCTTTAACACGCCCTCTCAGCCCGAACCGGACTGGACAATATCGGGGTGTATAAACGGGCCAAATAAACCCTTAATAAGCTACCCTTAATCATGGGTTGCTAAACAAGCCATCAAACCACAACCGGAATTGTCTCTGATACTATGTTAAGACTTGAGGTTCCATCCTAAAAGGTTAACCCGATAGGAGGAGTAGCCCAAAGCCTTATATAGTGTTTAATTGTTTTATAGCTTTCCGGTGTGGGACAAACGCTTTAACATTAGTTTACCTTTAAAATCATACTGTTTGCTCTACATCACAAATTTAGCTCCTTTAAGATAATCATGTTAAGAATGGATTACATGTACATAATTAGCACCACTAACGGTATTGTTCTGCTTTATAGGATTTGATTCCTCCTTCATATTTGGATGAACTCTCACTGTTGCAAGACCAAATAACTCCGTTTCCCAATGAAGTTGCTTTTAGTAAAATAGAGCAAGAACTTGGGTTTCCATTAGATGTACTTTACTCTGAGGTTTCACCAGATCCTGTTGCAGCAGCATCACTTGGACAGGTGTTTTCTATTTTACTTAATTATGCGCTCATTGAGATCCAGTTTAATTTTAAAAGACTAATACGGAGTAGTAGTTAGTCATTATTCTATCTTATAACAATTTTTTTTTTCCTTAGGTGTACCAAGCTAGGCTTCGATCTAGCAAGCAAGTAGTTGCTGTCAAAGTGCAAAGGCCAGGAGTTCAAGCTGCAATCTCCTTGGATATGTTAATTTTAAGGTTTCTAGCAGGCCTAGTAAGGAAAGCGGGGAAATTTAATACTGATCTTCAGGTATTGTTGTAAAAAATTTTAAATCTCACTGGGATTAAAGGCAGAAGAGTTGAAACAAAGAACTAATATTAGTTGATTGTTTGCTTAAGAGATGTAGTGGAGCTCTTGTCCATGATAGCCTCTTTCCATTTTTAATGCCACCATCTGTTTCCAATGAACTCACCTTTACCACTTCTACATATCTACTTCACATTTTTAAACTTTAATGTGCAGGCTGTTGTTGATGAGTGGGCGTCAAGCCTTTTTCAGGCATGTATTCATTTCTATCCAATTTGATGACAGAATCTAGATACAAGCTCGCACATTTTAAATAAGATCCCCCTCCCTAAGCTCACTCTTTTAGGAGTTGGATCAAGTGCTAAGCTAGGGTGGTTTGACCTCAATATATTGAGGTTGAAAGTTAAGTTTTGTGCTTATATTAATAGATGTCTTCAGACATCTTACAAGGAGATACTTAATATGCTATTTCCTGGGTGCACATTATTAAGCCACTCACACGAGCGCCTTGGACTATTCCTAGACTATTCCTCCTATCAGGTGGATAAAAAACTCTACCTCAACAGGCAATTAGTAAAGAGCAATGCCACATTATTTTCCAAGTCTTAGTATGATATTAGGTCAAATGAAACTGTAACGAGCAATTAAATTCTGATAAGTCTCAACAACGAGCACACAAACTACAAGATTGATAAAGGGCAACCCGGTGCACATTGGCGTCTCCACAAAGCGAGGGTCCGGGGAAGGGTCCCACCACAAGAGTGTATAAGGGCCAAGCCTCCCCTGTAATTTTGGCAAGAGGCCGCTCCTAAGACTTAAGCCACTGACCTCTCGGTCTCACGGCAACACCATAATGTGTGCGCCCCCAAGGCTCCCCTTCAGTATAAAAATACGTAGTACAACATATCATACAATGTCTTGAGCTACTCACATTAAGCCACCACACCATTCTCATGAAGAAATATAACAATTCAAGCTTCAGTAAGAAATATAACAGTTCAAGCTTCAGTGGCAAAACATTGGTTCAAGAAATTTTGATTTCAGATTTTTTCCCCTTGGCTACCTTCGATTTCAGAACTTTCTTTTTTCCTTAGCTACCTATATCCAACTGATACAGTTTCTGTTGCCCCTTGATTATTACGCTCATGTTTTAATGCATGGTAATTTTCCAAATTTTAGCAGAGTTTGTGTTTATCTCAATGGGAGTTATGGCAATGATATTAACGCCTTCATAGGTTTATTACTCTAGAAAAGATTCTCATATTTTAAAGTTGTACGCCTTAAATAGAGAATAAATTTTTATGCAAATATTTGTTTGCTAAATACCGAATTTAGATATACTTGCCTATCCTGATTCCCCTGCCCAAACGCCAAGACTGAAATCAAACTATTCCTCATGATAAAAAGGAACATTCTTCGTGCCTTTAGATTGAATGCAGACAATCTAATTGAATGCAGGAGATGGATTATAAGAGGGAAGCAGATAATGCAGTCAAATTCAGGTAAAAGACCACTGGATTTGTTTAAATTTGTATGCATTAGTTTCTAGACAGCTCATTTTTTATAAATATATATAGCACACTTAGCCTCCATGCTATAAGCCGCAATCATGTTTAGAGAGAACAACTCGCTTTTTTCTCCCAGTTTAGTATGATTAGGTGACTAGTGTGAACTTTGTATTACCAGATCTGTCTTAGAGAAGAATGATCTATTGATTGACCTGAATCTATTGGTTGGCTATTGAGGGTAAGCTCCTAGCATCCTGCTTATGTATATCATCAATGGTCGCCATCTGCTGAAAGGATGGTTGAGACCGGTTATCGTGTGTGAGTAGCTCGGCTTAATAAGTAGTCCTAGTCATCAAATAAAGATGGCTAAAGGATAGTGATGTTTTCTGTATATTATTATTCTTCAATGCTACATTTACAAGAAGTACAGACCAATATATACAGGTAGAAGCCTGAGAGAGTCTATTCAGTACCCTTAGGTGACTGTCTAAATACTAAACATAAATGCTTATAAACTGAAAAGACAGCAGCTATTAATTACAACCTGAAGCATAATTACAGTAATAATGAGGAAAATAAATCCTAGATTAATGATGTCTCTTCGTTTTATCAACAGATAGGTTGAGCGACCATCCATAATGTGATGTTCAGGTCATCAAATAAAGATGACCAAAATATGCGACCGAGAGACCTATATGAAGTCCAAGTCATCAAATAAAGATGACCAGGAAGTATGGCCGAGAGGCCGATATAAAATCCATGTCATCAATTAAAGATGATCATGGGATATGTGGCCGAGAGACCTGTATAAGCTCCACGTGATCAAATAAAGATGTCTGAGTGGTATATGGCCGATGGGCCTATATAAAGTCGTCATTTAGTTGCGCCTAAGCATTCAAATAAAATTGTTATAATTTCTTGTACTTGTTTTTAGCTAATGAATTTGGTCCTAATTTAGGTTGCCTCAAATTTTTAAGCTCTAGAGCTCAAGCTAGATTTCGACGCTTAGTTGGAGTGTGGCACGCACCTAAGCTAGATTCAAATTTGATAGTTAGAGGTCACACGTAACTCGTACAAAACATAGAAACTAGAGTATGTATTAGATGACATTCGGATTAGGAGCATATTAATCGCCACACCCGTATGACGTGACTCGTTGGTGCGAGAGTTTAGCACTTTCTGATGTTGTACGTGGGTGATCAGATTATATAAGTCCATTCTTTCAATGTCAAATAATACACACTACCTAAAAAATAATGATAATAAATTAATAATCTAGCTCAATTGCCACGCAAGTTCGTACTTCGAATCCGCTAGACACATGCTTTTAAGGGTTCTTTTAACGGATGACTCGCCCCCCGAGATTGACGTTTGATGCTATATTATTAATATTTTAATTCATGATTTTTTTTCATTTTTTGAATCTATTTTGACAATTTCTATAAAATTGGAGAGAAAGTACTTTGCTTTTTATAGAGGGAGTGACCCTTCCAGGAGCTTGGAGCGCATGTACTGGTGGCCCATAGAGTGAGCTGAGCCCATGACTTTGCATATGTTGACCTGGTCAACTGGATCCGGTGCCTCCCTGAACAGTCCGCTAAAGGCAGAGGGATCCCTCTGGCTGTTGCAGTACTGTGGGTAATCCAGAAGTAGCAGGAGCTCCATTCGTCCTCTTCGAGCTTTTTGGAGTCGGGTCGTTGAGCTGGAACAGGGACTGACGCGGTGCCAGAACGCCCAAGGTGAAGCAGACGGCACCGTGGTGGAGGTGGTGTAGCCTGTACCTGGACCCCACACTTCGCCACTGGCCGCTGGCGTGTCACAACTTCAGGCTTGCTAGTTGAGTAGACTGCCATGTGAGGGAGCATGACGGTCTGTTTGCGCCGGAGAGCTCGTGTCTGGGGGCGTCTGTCGATCTGCGGCGGATTCCCCGACGCATATTCGCGACAGAGCATGACGCTGTTGTAGCGGCTTGTTGCAGCGTCGCCGCTGATGGTTGGAATGGTCCGAGATTCCGGTTTCTTTTTCCGATCAGTAGAATTCCGGACCAGCTTCTCCTTATTTCCCAGATCTGGAATTTTTATCCATCTTTATTTGGTTGCAGCGAGAGCACCATTTGATGGATAATTGTTACCCATGTTGTATAATTTAGGAGAGATTGAACAAGAAATGGAGAAGGAGTTGAATAATGTGGTGTATGAATTATTAATTTGACTAGGGTTTACAATGCCTCCCATAAGGAGTATATATAGAGACATTAGCGGGTCGGGCCGCTAATATGGGCCCAAAGGCCCAATTACGTAAAATGCTAATCTAGTCTAGTACACACAAATGGATGCGTAATATAAATGTTGTGTGCTGGGTGTACGTGAACCGCGCTGTCAAAGCCCAATAGTCGGCAGACCGGGGGTCAGAGTCCATATACTCTATCAACTACCTTTGTGATCTAGATCTCATAATACAGTGTAGCTTCAGTTGAAGGTTATAGGGAAATTGATGTAGTGAAAAAGTTAAACATTCACTATATCAATTTCATGTCGAGATCATCATTTTTGTGTGCCTATTCCTCAAGCATGTGCATTTGCTGAATAAATTATACCCTCATTTGTTATCATTGTTGTTGTGATCATTGTTAGCTGTTGCTTATTATTTACTTAATCAGACAGTTATATGGTGACATTAAGGATGTTATGGTTCCAGAGATGTATTTGTCACAAACTACTCACAAAGTTCTCACCATGCAATGGGTAGAGGTACAATCACGCATTTGTTGCACTGTTTTGCCTAAGCATTTATGATTGTATTCCATTTTTAAGAAATATCTAAAGCAAGAAATATCTAAAGCATGATTTGCACGGCGCTTTCAGCTTAATTATACCATTTTGTGGATATTTAGTCGCAAGTGCAAATAAACATGCTTACAAAAGAAAGAATATTTCAGTGCAAGTAGTGGCAGATCCACCTTGTATCCCACGGGGTCCTGGGACCCCATGGACTTCCTATACCTATATATTATATATATTTATATAAAACTGATTGATAAATGTATATATAGAATAGAGGAGCGGTCGCGCGCGCTGCAATAAAGCCTCCCTACCCGCGAGCTCCACGGGTCGAATCCCCTTGATGACTGATTTTCTTACTCCGTGGATTTTGTTTATCGAAGCAACCATCGGGCAGCGGCTGTTTTTTAGTATTTTTTTGAAACTGTCTTTTTAGTTAGCGGATATTTTATTTCTTTTTTTTTTGATATCACCGAACTTATTTATTAACTAAATCTACCCAGATTAGGATTAGGACTACACAACCTACTTATCATCAAACAATTATTTCAAATAATGACATTTGTGTTATACTCTGTGAGTTTGTGTACATAATTAATGGTGTAAAATAAAATAGCACTCTGTACGTATTTTAACAAGGTTTTATAATCATCAAACACAATAGTTGATTAATATGAATATTATCTTAGAAATAATAGTACCCAAATTGACTACTTTTTAGTACGGACGACTTGGAGAACTAGCTACACTAATTGTAAGGTTATCCCAGGTGAGAGTGTTGTCACTCAAGATAGGATGCTTGTGCTTAATTTTCAAGGTAAAAAGAGAAGACGGGTTAAGGTACAAGGGGAGTCAAAGATAAAGTGGTGGAGGCTCGAGAAAAATCTCCAACAAAGTTTTGCACACAAAATGTTGGAGGAAGATGTATGGTCTATCGATAATGACACACATGTGGATGATGTGTGGTTATCAATGGAGTTCACCATTAACAAAGTGGCAAAGGAGATACTCGGAGAATCTAAAGGATGTCTGCCACCAAAAAGGACCAAAAGGGAATGCTATAAGAAATTAGGAAAAAGTTGGAGCGACGAGAACATAGAAGAGTACAAGGAGGCTAGAAGAAAAGCAAAGAAAGGTGTAAAGGAAGCAAGAGGAAAAGTGAACAAGGAATTGTAGGTAAAATTGGACTCTAAACAAGGAGAAAAAAAAATATTTATAGACTTGCTTGCCTTCGTGACCGTATGACTCAAGATATCGGAAAAATTAAGTGTGTGAAGGATGTCAATCAAAGGTACTAATGGAGGACGAGGAAATAAAGAAAGGTGGATGTTATACTTTGATACTTTGTTCAACATGAATAAAGTGCAAGGTGTTGATGATCTTACTATACCAGCGTGTATGGTAAATCGGGACTTTGTGAGAAGGATCCAAACAACAGAAGTTAAAGAGGCTATGAGAAAGATGGGACAGAAGAAAGCAATGGACCCAGATGACATTCCGACCAAGGCTTGGAGAAGTTTGAGAGAGAGTGTCATTCAATGGCTAACATGTTTCTTCAACATGATTTGGAGAAACAACAAGATGCAGTGAGTTGGCTGAAGAGTACTCTCATTCCTCTATTTAAAAATAGAGGTGATGTACAAGAATGTGCCAACTATCGATGGATTAAGCTTATGAGTCACACCATGAAACTTTGGGAGCGACTAGTTGAGCAAAGATTTCGGAAAAATGTGAAAATTTCGGAGAATCAGTTTGGTTTTATGCCTGAGCGCTCAACAACTGAGGCCATTCACCTTCACAAGTTGTGGAGAAGTATAAAGACACTAAAAAGGATCTGCATTTGGTGTTCTTTGAGTTAGAAAATGCATATGATAGGGTACCTCGAGAAGTCCTTTGGTGGCCCTGAAGTAGAAAAGGCATTCCACGTAAGTATATCAGAATCATCATGGATATGTATGAGGTTTGTACTACAAGTGTCCGTACTAGTGAGAAGTCAGAACGAGAATCAATAATATAGCCCTGCATACTGTCAAGACTCGAGGCAATAATATAAAACACTTAACATAACAAGTTCATCAATAAATTGCAAAACATTTGAGAAATCAGAACGAGAATCAATAATATAGCCCAACAGCTTTTTTGTTTGCTCAGAAGTCAGAATCACTATTAACCCCTTTACTAAAGTGGCTTTAGTAAAGTGGACTAGAAGCGGAGGATTTTAATCAAAGCTAACGACAGAGATGAAGATAAGCGCACAACACAGAGTGATTTAACGTCGCTAAGCCTTCGTTCATCGTAACTAGCTATATTTAACTTTTTTCAAACTCGCCGTTTTAGACTTCAATGGCGCCCTTCGTTCCCCGTTTTTGAACCAAGTAGTCGCAGCTCGTTTAGATCGATGAGGCTTACGATTTACGATCCTACCTGACAATCTGCCGATCCCAGGTCAATTTCCGATCTAAGCAGCGATCTGAGTCGATTCCCCCTCTTCAGATCGCAAACTCGTACGATCTTACGAGTTACCTCGCGATCCTAACAACCTTGCTTACTACACTCACTGAGTACGCAATATGTGGACGGGTAACTGCGAGATAATTAAGCGTTCCAACCAACCGTCTATATCTTTCCGGATCTTCAAATGGCACGCCTTCATGAGTGAGCTGCACATTGGGAATCATGGGAGTATTGCTCGGTTTAGCCCCTAATTTCCCTGTTTCAGTTGGCACACCTTCACGAGTCAAGCACATATTTACGTTGAGATAGAAATATGCCTTTCTTACTCCGTGTAACCTCAATCCCCAAGAAGTATTTCAATGAGCCCAAATCTTTCGTCTGGAATTGACTATGAAGAAAATTCTTAAGGGCCAATACCTGCATTATCACTCCCTGTAATCACAATATCATCAACATACACCACAAGCAATGTGATACCTGCTTTCGTTCGTCTATAAAATACAGAGTGATCCGATTTTCCTCTGATCATTCCAAACCGTTCAATTGATTGACTGAATTTCCCGAACCATGCACGGGGACTCTGTTTCAAACCATAAAGAGACTTGCGAAGTCGACAGACTTTTCCATACTCCCCTGAGCAACAAAACCCGGAGGTTGCTCAATATAAACTTCCTCCCGAAGATCACCATGCAGGAATGCATTCTTAATGTCCAACTGATGTAAGTGTCAACCATGAGTTGCAGCGAGAGAAATAAGTAACTTAGTAACATGACAGATGTTAATTTAGCAACCGGAGAAAAAGTGTCAGAATAATCAACACCATATGTTTGAGCATAACCCTTCGCAACTAATCGGGCTTTCAACTGAGCAACAGATCCGTCTGGGTTAACCTTAACAACAAAGACCCACTTACATCCAATAGACTTTTTCCCTGTAGGCAAGTCTACCAAATCCCAGGTACAATTAAGATCCAAAGCATTCATTTCCTCTATCATGGCATGACGCCATTCAGGATGAGACAAAACCTCTTTAATAGATTTGGGAATAGAAATAGAATCAATGGAAGCAATAAAAGAACATGAGGCAGAGGATAACTGACTATACGACACAAATGAAGAAATAGGATGAGTACAAGACCGTGTACCTTTACGAATAAATGAGTATATCATCACTATTCTCATGAATATCTGCCTTAGATGATGAAAAAGGTGTATTTTCATGAAATGATGCATCAATAGAAAGAAGATACCGACCTGTACTCGGACAAAAACATCTATACCCCTTTTGGACTCGAGAATAACCCAAGAAAATACATTTTAATGATTTGGGATCTAGCTTCGTAAGATGAGGATTAACATCTCTAACAAAACAAGTGCAACCAAATATTTTAGGTGGGATAGGAAAAAGCTCTTTGTTTGGAAATAGACAATGATAAGGAGCTTTACCATTCAAAACAGAAGATGACATACGATTTATCAAAAAACATGCAGTAGACACGGCATTGGCCCAAAACTGTTTAGGCACATTCATTTGGAATAGAAGAGCCCTTGCAGTTTCTAACAGATGTCGGTTCTTTCGTTCTGCAACCCCATTTTGAGGAGGTGTGTCAACGCATGAAGTTTGATGAATAATACCATGCTGAAGCAAAAATGACTTAAATGTAACAGATAGATATTCTTGGGCATTGTCTCCTCTTAACACCCGAACAGGAATGTTAAACTGAGTTTTAATTTCAGCACAAAAGGAAGAAAAATGAGTGAACAACTCAAATCGACGTTTCATGAAATACATCCATGTCATACGAGAATAGTTATCAACAAAGGTAACAAAATTTTTAAAACCACCTTTAGGCACAACCGGGCAAGCACCCCAAACATCAGAGTGAACAAGGTCAAATGGAGCATTTGCTCGTTTATTAACTCGAGGGCTTAAGCTAGTACGACGGTGTTTCGCAAATTGACATGACTCACATTGTAAAGAGGTCATCTTATTGAATTGGGGATTTATTTGCTTCATTAATGGGAGAGATGGATGTCCTAATCGGTAATGACCCTCTAACAAAGTCCCAACCCTAAGACCCTGTTTGGTTGGAGGGTTTTGGAGGGGAGGGGAGGAAAGTGGGGGATTTGTGTGTGTTTGGTTGAAGGAAATAGGGGAGAAGGGGATGAAAGTGGAAGGCTTTCAAAATCCTCCACTTTCTCCCATTCTAAATCCCCCAAATCGGGGTATTTCGGAGGAAACGTGTTGATAACCACAAACTATCATCTCCTACGTGAATGAACAAAACGTTATAATATAAAAAGGTAAAAAACAAAAAGTTTTGAAAAATAAAAAAATTTAAAAAATTAAAAGATTAAAATATTTAAAAATTAAAAATTTTAAAAATTAAAAAATTAAAAAATTATAAATTAAAAATTTTAAAAATTAAAAATAAAAAAAAATTAAAAATAAAAATAAAGAATTAAAAATTCCAAACTGAAAAATGAAAAAATATAAAATTAAAAAGGTAAAAAATC